CAAGTCGAAATCACCCCTCCACCACCATGCTTCATAGTTGGTATGAGGTTGATGGTATGATGTGTTTGGGTTTCTGAGAGTTTTGGCTGAACATCTCTGCTTTGGTGTTGTCTCTCCAAAGCCTTCACATAAAGACCTAAGCTGTGTTGCCATGTGACATGTAGCTCTTTGCTTTTTGGATTTTTCCTACAGCCTCTGTGGGCATTGCATGGGCTGACCTTGGGCTGATGGGACAACCACTCCTGACTAATGCTCAGTAAATCAGGATTAGCAGCACCTGGCTGCTCCTTACTTTAATTCCGGTGGGGGCAAAATACAGGACTACATGCAGCAATGCAAAAATCATTTTTACATGACTGTATGTCTTTGTGAAGCCGATAGAAATTAGAAGTAGACTGTATGTAAAAGATGCATTTTCAAATTCCCGTTTTAACCCTTTAAAGTCTAAAACAATTGCCGGGAAACGTTATAAAAATGGAGTGCTTAGTGAACGTGTGGATGGGGAAAAAAAAACTAAAAATATTTTTTATTTTTATTTTTTGCAAAATAAAAATATACATAAATTTAAAAAAAAATCCAAAAGTAGCCACACCCTAAATATTAGCTCAATTCATTGTTTTTGTTTGTTAGTTTGTTGTTTGGTTTTGTTTTTGACTGTTTTTGGTGACTTTGGTGGTTTAAGAAACACTGGAATTATTTTTCAGACTCAGAGGTTCAGTCCATCTTTTTTACATACAGTTTGTGGGTTGATTGCATATTGGGTAGAGCTAATTGCAGAGTTGCTGTGGCTGGTGGGGCATTGGTAATATTTTTCCGTATTTCAGTGACACCGGTTTATGGGTGAGCATCTGACCACATGCTGTATGGCATGGCCATAAAGCAGCGGCTCGGGTTTGAGTCCGACCAATCCTTTGCCGCGTGTCTTCCCCTCTCTCTTTCCCCGCTTTCCAGTCCACCTCCACTGCCACTATCCAATTAAGGCAAAAGCCCAAACAAATTTCAGTATATTTCAGCCTCTGCATCCTGCTAAGCAAGCTTGTCAGATAGCTCATTCGCTAATGAGTAAGTTTGCCTGAAAAACTTTGTATCATCGACTCCAGTGTCAAAACTGACTGCAAATTCTGTACTTAATGGAACAGTTTATGCTACAGCAGAGTACAGTTGCATTAAATTTTATGGTGCAATAAAGCCAATATGACTCCATGGGTTTCCATTCCCTTCAAGGTTATGAGTCGCAAGACAGTTTGTAGCTGGTCAAGAGTACAGTGTTTGTGTTAATGTTCATTAACAGTAACAATAATTAAAAACTATGACAGTCATTATGGTTGTATGTGAATATTGAAGTTGCGTTATTCATTTTGAGTAATGACTCACCTTGCACCCACTCATCTTTCATCATCAAGATGATTTCCCACCCATCGTGCAATGCACAAAGAAAAGAAAAAGGAACAACACTTTAAAAGCGTATCTTTCTTGAAAGCACCAAAGATCTGTGTTACTACAGTATCCAACATGAAGACTGAAACTGTGTCACGCTATGCCTAGCCAAGGTAGGGTGACCATGGTGTGCTGTGCCTAGTCAGCGTAGTGCCCAGAGTTAACAGTCATCCTGCTGTGATTGGCCAAAGAAGGAGTGAAGCTAGACCAAGCCTTCTGGCCTCCTATTGTCACCTGAAGGAACCAATAAGCTTTTACTAAGGGCTTTGTTTATTTAACCTACTGTACTCTGACTGTATATATACATTTCCTGCATTCATTCGGCATGCACAGTACAGTGTAAGTATGTTATTAGCATTTTCATTATAGCAGAATATTTGTATCCCCGGTGTTTATGTGAAGTACTTTCGTTAAGTGCTCTAGTATATTCGAGATGCATAGCATGCAGCTGCTGTGCGTGATCAAGTATCCTTTCTGTATTCCTGAAGCTGTGTTGCAAGATTGTTGCTCCTTTAATTATTCTCTCATATTAAAGGATCAAAGGTCTCTGCCACAGTGAACTCCCTGCATTTCATTATTATTGCACACGCACACTTTTGCCTTTGTCTGCACACATTTACATGGACACATCCGCAGCATGTCAGCTATGTTCAGTCTTTCAATTCCGCATTTGATTTCCTGTGATTATAAAGGGATAAATGTTGGTCTTTTCAAGTTCTTCACTGAAGAACCCAGCATGTTATTTTTGATTCTGCTCCTCTGTGAGATTTTTCTTTATCAACCACAAGCTTGCACCAGTCCTGAGAAGGGTGTCATTGATAGCCCTGTGGCATGAGGGACAGAGCATGTTTTATTCTCCTGAAGTACTTTCATGTCCTGGTGCTTGTGAACATGTGTTTGTGTGTATTCCCGCCAACGTGTGCCAAAATGCAGTGAGTGTGTGTTCTGTGCCTTTTCCCTCTCCCTCTGGACCCAGCCAATCCTCTTTGTTGCTTCCATAGGTTTCTCCCACCGATAGGCTGCTTCAGCGCTCTGTTCTATGACACCCACAGCTCCACAGTGCTCCCATCATGCCCCTGTGCTGTCACCACTCTGCTGCATGGCAGCTGGCAGGAGGGGAGGATGCTGAGTGTAATTAGGGCGTACCCAAGCCTACTAGGACCAGAGAGGGGGGGTGGAAGAGGCAAGAAAGAGGGCTGACAGTTTGACATCAGTACAGCACACCAACTCTGTAATTGCTGGCATACATATGGTGCAACCCAAGGTTGCAAGGTTGTGTGGGGTAGCGAGTGGGGTAATATGGGATAGAGAGAAGTCAAAAATAGGAGGGAGAATGCAGGCTGAAGAAATAGATGGAGGATGGGTTCACGTCATCCAGAGCGGAGAACAACAAGGGAGGAGAAGGAGTAGAAGCAGGGAGTAAGAAAAAATGCGTAGTGGGCTTTTGGGTGGGGAAAACAGGACCTAAGGAATGCAGAAGAAGCTGGAGCTGAATGACATGTATAGCAGGGGGTGCAGCATGTTGACACAGCACACGTCTATTATTACATGCACATACACGCACACACCTGCACACACACTTCCACAGCTGGCGCACCTAAGCAAACATTTCTCTGCCCCAGAGGGGCTTTAAAAATCACCACGGGTAGTATGAAGAGTAAATGTAGTGTTGTGCTTGTGTGTATGTGCTTTTTTTGCGTTAGCGTTCTCTTAACTAGAAATTCAAGTGCTTTTCTATGGCTGTAATTAGAGCGCACAGGTAATAGAGCTGTCGCACATAACTGCGCACACAAACACACGTTCACAGAGGGGATATTGATCAGGGGAGAGTGTGTGTGCGCGTGTGTGTCCTGAGCGAGGGATCCTGATCGATGGTGTCCTGTCCTGTGGATAGATTGCCAATTCTGCACGGTCGCTATTGAGCAGGAAGCAGCTTTGGTGAGATTTGCCTCCAGGGTCTCACCTGCATCCCCAAGACACACACACACACACACACACTTAGTCGCACATGCCTTTCTGCTTTTGTGGTCTCACACAGAAATACACACCTGCTGCACACATGCTCAGCTTCAGAGTTAACACAACGCTCATTTCTATTCTACTTTTTGAGCTCTGGCCTCCTTCTCGCCGACACTCTTGTCATTTCTCCTCTCATTGCTCCATCCATCTTTGATACTCTCTGCAGATTTGTTGGACCGTCTCAGTCTCTTGCTTCCTGTCATTTCTATCCGTTTCATTTTGGCTTGCATCACTTCTGTCTCATCCTCCTCCTTCTCCACACTGATTTCTTCCTCTTATTTATTCTTTTGGTCTACTCTCTGTCCGCCTACTTAACTTCAGAGTACTCTGCCGTGCACCACCACCGCCATCCCCTCCCCATTCCACGCTCCTTTTCCCTCCCATGTTCCCCTTGACTGACTCCCAGCACTCCTTCCTCTCTCCTCCGCTCTGTCACCCCTCTATAAAGACTCCCACTGACGGACCTGAACCTTCTGCCCAAGCCACATTCTGCCCCTCATTCTTTGCTCCTGCACTCCATGCGAAGAGGAGACCAATTAAAGTCCGTCTCCTCTCTTCTTCCACTCCGTTGTTCTTCTCTCTGTGTGTCTGCACTCAGGCTCTCTGGGGTCACTAATTAAAACACTTTACTTTTCTCTTTACTCCACTTTTTGCACCTGTATGTCCAACTTCTTCCTTTGGCTTCTTTTTAAACATATTTTTGTTCCAGCTTTTCTTCATCCTGTCTCCAAAACTTTCTTTTCACCAACCTCCTTCTGTCTGCCTGTGGGACTCGTCTCATGTCTCTTCATCACTCACAGGCCTTTCCTCCATTTGTCACACGCTTCCCTTCCTATTTCTTGTCTCCCTCTTTGTTCTTTCATGAAGTCTTATGATATCTTTATGTTAAGTTAACCTCTCTTGCTTTGTCTTACATCTTCTTCCCTTCTGACTTTATTCTCATTCTTTCATTCACATATTAGCTTGTACATGGGAAACTCTTTATACTGCGGGCTGACAGGAAGTCAGAATCCTCGCTCTGAAAGATCGCACATTATGCAGCTGCTCTGTCCTAATGATGCTGTCTTGTCCAGAGTTGTTGTTATGCCAAACTCCAGTCAGCCTTGACTGACATGGTTGTACATGCACATGCACATACGCTTACGTTTGTACACACATCTATCTGTCTATCTGTGCTGTGCAGTGGGAGAGTGGAAAGGAGAGGAAGTCGAGTTTATTTTACGCTGAACTCCCCTCAGTGGTCTTAATTAGCATGTGAGGAATTTTTGCTCTCTCTAGCTGACACTCAGCATCATCACTGGTCCAGAAGTGTAGCTGTAGCATTTGAATCCCACCAAATTCTTGTATTAAAAAAGATCAAAATGTTGTTTTATTGCCTGTCACAAGTGTTGGATGTGCATTTGGAAAATTGTGGAATTCCTGGCCTTTCTCTCGCTCTTTCTCTACGTGTCTGCAGTCTATCACTGCCTCCCCCCTCCTTCAGTCATGTATCAGTCTCTAATTGCTACATGCAGTATTAATGCCGTTGTCGTTCTTCCTTCCAGGTTAACAGCAGGTGATCTGTCTGTCCAGCTGAATTTCAACGATTACCTGGACATCCACTGCCCCCACTACCCCAACGAGGAGGCCGTGGGTCACGGGCAGCCGGAGACCCTTGCCCTCTACCTGGTGGGAGAAGAGTCGTTCCAAGGCTGTGTAGAGACCAGGGGGGCCATCAAGAGGTGGGAGTGTAACACCCCTTTTGCTCCATATGGACCAGTGCGCTTCTCAGAAAAGATCCAAAGGTTCACGCCCTTCTCACTGGGGTTTGAGTTTCTGCCAGGGAGACACTACTACTACAGCTGTGAGTAGATGATGTGTATGTTTTTGTGTGTTGGGAGAGGGTAAACCGATTTAGAGAGTCAAACATATCACAGCTTGAGCTCAGTGTTATATGAAATTTTCTGACATGCCTGATGTTTGATGATCAGTCATGTGACAGATATAACAAATAGATACACCGTTAGTTATTTAGCAGCCATACAAAAAATTCCTAACTTAATTGTCTGATTTTTAGAGATAGCAAAAGTCAAACATGTCTTAATATGCAACAATTTTGAAGCTTATACGCAGACAAATCGGTCTGCAAGTTGTTGTTGTTATTTGTTGCTTTGATTCTTGTCAGTTTCCAGAAATATGAATAAATGGATACAAATTTTTCCATTATATCAGTGCCCGGAGATTTTTTGTCCAGCCAACAAACGCCATCTGATTTTTAGTTTAGCATAAGAAGAATGTTGCTTTGAATCTGAAGTATTTAATATTAAATAAATGTTAAGTATTAATATGAGTTAAGCATCTAAAATCATTAGTATTAATCATTATTTTGTTTCTATCTAACTCCTAATGGCACATTTCGGGGCATTTCAGCACTACAGTTGGCATTTCAGAAGCATCGATATGGTATTGATATTAATTCCCAGCCTTTGTCACGTGATTATTTAAATAAGATCAATAGTATACGTTTTTGCTGCGCATAATCTGTCATCATTTTTATGATCGTGTTTAAGTGAAACAATGAATATTCGCTCCAGCTCCTTACACCCTAATAAAACAGCCCCAAAAGAAAAAGAAATCTAAATATTTAATGTTTCAGTTCATCAGTCTGTGCAAAGACACCTGTGCAGGAGATGATGTGGCGGCCAGAAAGCCTTATTTAAAGGATAAAAAGGTTTCACTGTTGCTTAAGCCAGCGTGTTTTTTATGAGTGTCGGCAAACTGCAGCTTTCTGAATGCCATTAATGTTATCCATAAATTCATGCTGAATGACATTAATATGATGTTTTCATAAACCTGTAGGCTGTTGTACAATTTAAGTGATGGTTTCTCCGTGACATCCTCCTGCAATCCTCTCCCCTCACTCATTTATTTCAAACCACTGGAGGGAAAAAAAGGGAGGGAAAGATACAGAAGATGGCTTAGTGGCTGTAAAATCAGTTGCCTTTTTTTTTGCTTGCTTTTTTACAACTTCTGGTGTAAGTCCAAGAGGGGGGAGGGCATGAAACGAAAGCAGAAAATGAAAGAGTCAAGCGAATGCATAGTACGGAAGGGTGACAACAAAGAGACAAAAAAGTGTAGGTGGAAGAAATCGAGATCAATACACGGCGACAGCGAGGGAGGAAAAAAAGGCAGGCAGAGAAGCAGACGGAGGTAGAGAAGCGTGGAAGAGTGACACGGGGAGAAAAAGAGCAAAAGATGGACACAGTCTCACAGTACGGGAAGGGTGGGGGGAGAAAGGGATGGGAGGATGGATGAGTGGAACCCAAATGGGAGAGAGAAAAGTGGGGAACAACAAAAGTGATGGATGGAAATGAAGGAAAAGAAAGAATCTTTACATAAATTACTGCTGCGGTCTGAGGGACAATGGAGCATTGTGAGGGTATGAGACACGCTCACGCACACTAACACACACACACAAACGTATGTATGTACGCACATGCACACTGGGCTATTGTGGTAGTTCATGCCAGTTCACAGAAAAGCAACAATAGATCTTACCCCCTGGTTTGGGCCACATCGGGCTTTGGGCGATTGTGTGTGTTTTGTCCACATCAAAGATAAGGCGTAAAGTTGGTCCAAATGTCTGGCTCTGGGGTGTGTGCACTGAATGGGCCCGCAGCACCGGAGACTGCATAATGGCATTAGCCCGGGAGAACAGTACAATGGTATTAGAAACACTAATGGCATTAGTTGGCTGAGTCTGAGCCGGGCTCAGCTCATCTCTCCCACAGACTATGACAGTGACAACCCACTGCCTCCTGGTCTCTGCCCTACTGCTCACCCTGCTGACCAAGACCCATTGGGTCTCCATATCTAGATCCCCAAAAACAGGAAACACCTTTACATCCTCTGATAGTCAGCTCTTCCCAACAGTGGCCAGAGTAATGGTGACAAAGAGAGCTTAGAACAACAGATCTCACTGCTTTGACAACAATCACAAGAAATTTGAAAAATGCGGCAGATAAAGGAAAGCCGAGGAAACGAACAAAGGACTTGACATTTGGAGAGTCACCAGTAAATTATTACAAATAGGAAAACGCAGAAACACAGAAACAGTTAACAAAAGCTTTGAGTTGAAACATTATGAACTGATGGACATAATTCAGAGCCCAGTGTCATAAAATTGCAATGCATTTTTTTTCACCATTTAACAAAAAGACTGGAGCGTGTCACTTTTTCCACTATACAGGGCCCTCAAAAACCACAATGGAATCAAAACAGCGTTGCTAATAACAAGCACACTCATTCCTTTTACAGTTTTTACGGCTCTTTACTGGTGGCTCCCTTAATTCTTCGTGGCACATTTTCAACGAAGTGCTAGGAACGTTTTGGCTCATATTGACGTGATAGCGTCACACATGCTGCAGAGTTCTTGTCTCTGTGATGTGAATCTATCGTTCCACCACATCCGATGTTGCATTCAGATCTAGTGACCGTGGAGTTCATTTAAGTACACCAAACAGATTTTCATGTTCAAGAAACCAAGTTAAGATGATTTGTGCGTTATCCTGCTGTAGTCATAAAGGCATAGACATGGCCAGCAACAATGCTCAGGTAAGCTGTGGTGTTTTAAACAATGTTTGTAGTAAGGTGTCCAAAGTGTGCAAAGAAAATATCCCTCACCATTACACCACCGCTAGCTTGAACTGTTAATACGAGCAGGATGCTTTTATTTTTACACCACATTCTGACTCTAACATCTGAATGTTGCTGCAGAAAGTCCAGGCAACATTTTTCCAATCTTCTGTTGTCCAGTTTTGGTGAACCCGAGTGAACTCACTTTCCTATTCTTAGCTAACAGGGCTGGCGCCCGCTGTGGTCTTCAGCTGTTGTAGCGCAGGTGCTTTAAGATTTTACATGGTTGTGCATTGCATAGCTTTCTTGTAACAAGTGAGTTAAGTTACTATTGACCTCTGACATCGCCTCGAGAACTGTTGCTCACTGGATGTTTTCAGTTTTTCTCTGTAAAACTTTGAGATGGTTGTGTAGGAAAATCCAAGTAAAACATCAGTTCCTGAAATACTCACACCAACCAGTCTAGCACCAACAACAACCATCCCATATGGAAAAGAAAAAGTAAAAACTTATAAAAGACTTGCATAAGATGTGGCCTACTTCATATAGTGAATCATATCAGGCTTACATGATTTACTCATGAAAGTGGCCACTTTCTCATTACTTTCATATATTGTTTTAGTAAGTATCCAAAACTTACAAGTTTCATTTATATAATTTTTCAAGGGATCTTATATCTGTTTTCACTCTT